AACAAACCACACAAGTAAGTTATTAATCCCAAGGAGAACAAAAAGTTATGCAGAAAACAAAGGTTTTTCAAAAAATCATTAACAACATAAATACTAAGTCTTACTCCAGTCAAGATCACACTAGCATTACTTTGGAAAGACAAAAGGTTAAGAATGCATAGTATGGACCTCCCCGGTGGCGCAGCGGTTGAGCGCTGGGTTGCGAAGGTGCCTACAGCCTCTGCAGTGCCGGTTTGATCCCCGGCTGCTCCCCGGCCACCAGAGGAGGGTCCCACGTGGCGCGCAGACCTCTCCTGCCGCCCGCTGCTCCCCTCAGCAGTGTACTTTGGTCCTTCTGCCTGCTCTGCTCCCCACTCTGGCTCTGGTGGATTCTCTCACCCTCCCGCGCTTCTGACTGTACCCAGTGCTTGTATAAATAAATAAAATAAATCTTTAAAAAAAAAAAAAAGTTTCATCACAGATCTGGAACAGGCTAATCTCCAAATTTACAAAGTTCTTAAAAAAAAAAAAAAAGAATGCATAGTATGGTGAGAACTAAATGTAATGTGATTAGACCCTACATCAGAAAACTCTTTTTCTTCTGCTAAAAAGCACAATAGTAGACAACTGGCAAAATATGAGTAGTCTGTAGATAAGATTCTAGTGCGGCTAGCCTGGAATTTAGGAAAGAAGCCAGGATAACACATACAGTGGGCCTAATACAGCGCTGCCATTCCATTCTGGAAGCGGAACATACAGTACCAATTCCCAACCAATCAAAAATTATATGGATAAAAGACAATAGTCTATCAAATTTAATTTCCTGATTTTGATAACTATACTTTGATTGTGTAAGACAAAGTCTTCATTTTGAGGAAACATACAATGAGGTATTTAAGCAAAAGACATCATTGTATCTGTAACTTAGCCTCCAATGGTTCAGAAAAAATTATAACAAAGAGAGGGAAATGGTGATAAAATACATCATAAAATGCTGGCATCTTAGGGCATCTGGATGAATGACAGGATATATGGGAATTCTTGGTATTATTTGTGCAATTTTTCTAAGTTTGAAATGATTTCAAAACCCTAAGTTTACATGTACAATTCTTTCAAGAATTTCTAGTTTTCCTATGTCCCCATTAATAGCAAAACTGTGCTTGCCTTGTGTATAATTGATCTCTTTGCCCAGTATTTTCATTCACCTCTCCAATCAACACATGCTCAGATCCCACCATCTGCAGGCAGCCAGGAGGGTAATCAAAGTAGATGAAAGATAACCCCAGTCTCGCCAGTGCAGAGGCGGGAAAGCAACATACACACTGGCAGCTAAGTCATAAATGCCATAATAATATTGGTGTGCACAGGTCTGAAGCAAAGGTTAAAGCCTCCAAGTCTGTTGGTAGAGGTCACAGAAGATTCCAGGGCTCAAGATAAGACTGAAGGAAGTTCCTCTGGCCAAAAGGGATGAGGAGAGCACTTCAGAAAGAGAAATCAATGTGTGGCAAAATGCCCCCTGGTGTGAAAAACATGCATTATTGCTCTGAACCCTCCTAATGTCCTTGCAGCGCCCCCCCTCCCCCCGCCCCGCCCCTTAGCTGCTGAGCTCTTTATCACCTGAGTCTAATGAAAGAGTCGTGATGGACATGCAGAGGAGTAGACGTTAGGGCGGTAGGAGTCTCAGTTCTCTAAGTAAGCGAAAGTAAAATAACAACAGCAGGGCCAGTGGAGTGGAAGGGATGGCTAGGTCAAATATTTTGAGGTAAAATGAACAGTAAGGGTTAAGAAATGCACTGTGCACAGAAAGAGAGGCTTAATTCTCAGGCATGTGTTTTCAGAGACTAGATGAATGGTGGTGTGTTTACCTAGAATAAAAATTTGAGAAAGAAGTCAGCTTGAAGAGGAAAAAAAGGAGAAAATTGGGTTTTAACGAAGTTTGGGGTGTTATGGACTACCCAGGTGAAGACACTAAGTGGATGTAAAGGTCTGAAAGCAAGATGCATGTCTGCATAGAAATCCATGGGATGAGTGGGTGGCAGTAAAACCATGAGAATTGATTAGACACTCTAGAGATTAGACACACTAGACACGATGACGATAAGGACAACAACGCAGCTAAGGTAAGCTGGTGAGCAGCAGCGCCCACTTGTTCTCCACCCTTGGGCTAAAGCAATTGTAGTGTGTCCATCTCTGGAGGTGTGTCTACAGGTCTAGTCTGACCATTAATACAAATCCAAAAGAGCTTCCACTATTTCACTTATTCCTTTTCTTGCAATAATAACTATCTCCTTAAATAGTAAGTGGGACAACTGGATAGCCACATGATAAAAGACTAAAGTTGGACCCTTTACCTTATACCATAAAATTAAATTAAAAATGGATCAAAGACCTAAATGAAGGAGATAAACTATATAACTGAAAAGAAAACAAAGGGATAAATCTTTATGATCTTGAATTTGATCTTTAAGATCACCTTAAATGTGACAGCAAAAAGCACGACTCAGAAAAAAAATAAATTAAGGCCTGGGCCTCCCCAGTGGCGCAGTGGGTTGAGTGCAGCGCTGTGAAGCTGTCTGCAGCCTCTGCAGCACAGGTTTGATTCCCGGCTGGCCAGGGAGATACCCACATAGTGTAGCAGACCTCTCCTGCCTCACCCACTGCTCCCCTCAGCAGTGTATTTCAGTCAGTCTGCCTGGTCTGCTCCCTGCTCTGTCTCTGGTGAATTCTCTCACCCTCCCGTGCCTCTGACCTGTACCCCTGTTCTTGTATAAATAAAATCTTTAAAATCAATTAATTAATTAATTCTTCATCAAAATTAAGAACTTTTGTGCACCAAAAGATAATACCAAGAAAGTAAAAAGACAACCTGCGGAATGAGAGAAAGGGTCTAATATGAAGCACATATGAAGAACTCTCTTACAACTCAACAATAAAAAAACAAACACAATTTAAAAATGGGCAAAGGATTTGAATAGTTATTTTTCCAAAGACACACAAGTTATTTTTCCACAAGCACATGACAAGATGTTCCACATTATCTGTCATCAGCAAAATGCAAGTCAAAATCACAATGAGGTACCACTCCATAGCCTCTAGGATAGCTAGAATCAGTCAGAGAACAGTAAGTATGGGTGAGGATGCAAAGAAATCAGAACCCTCATAAACCACTGGCAGGACTATAGAACAGTGCAGCAACTTTAGAAATAGTCTGGAAACTCCTCAAATAATTAAACACATGACCTAGCAATTCTATAACCCAAATGTCCATTAGCTGATGAACGAATAAACAAAATGTAATATATTTTGTATGACAAATATATACTTGACAATGGAATACTACTTGGCCCTAAAAAGGAACAAAATACTGATAAATACAACAACATGCACAAACACTGAAACCATCATATTAAGTGAAAGAAGGCAGCTACAAAAGATGACGCATCATAGGATTCCATTCATATGAAAGTCTACACTAGGGATCTATACACAGAGACAGGTAAAGAGTGATTGCTTAGGACTAAGAGGGAAGAGAAGCCAGGGGAGGGAGTACCTGGGGAGAAGGCGCTAATGAAAACAGGAGCTGGAGAAGTGAAACCTCAGGAGAGCAAACAGCAGTAAAAGCATAAAAGCATGTGGCATGAGAGAGAAATAAAGAGTAACCTGGAATAGGATACATGAGGAAGGAGATGAAATATAGTGAAAAGGCTAAGAAAAAAGTGACCATGCACTCTTCCAAGGTGCTCATATTTAATGTCAGACAAAGGGTAACCACTAGGAAAGGAATAAGCATGCAACAAGATCAGAACTGTCATCAGAGCAAGTCTGGTGCACGTGGGGAAATAACTAACCCGGAAAAAGCTGAGGGGTAAAGATACCAGTAAATCATTTCCTTAGAAACCCCAGTTGAGCCTGGTCTGAACTGTGTCAGTAGCAGCAGAATGAAAAGGAAAATACAGTATTTGATCACTTCTAAGTGATTGGGGGGGGGGGGGAAGGGTGTCCTAAATTTGAGAGAGAAGAGCTTGGATACAGTTTAGTTGAAAAAAAGGATGCTGGCACTGTCAGTCCACAGAAAATCCCAGGAATGGCAGGAATGGGGCTAAGAAAGGAGAGAGTAGGACTTCTAAGTAGCATTTCAGCCAAAGAGACATCAGGAAAGGATCAGAAGAAAGGTGGGGGCTGGTGGGGCAATTTCATTGTAAAATTCATGGCCACAGAAAATACTGATGAGCCTGCGCAGAGCAACAGTTCTCAAACTTCAGTGTGCATCGAAACCACCTGTCAAAACCAAACTGCTGGGCCTACCCCAAAATTCTCCTTTGGTAGGTCCACGGTGGAGTCCAAAACCTTGTGTCCTTAACCAGTTCCCAGGTAATGGGAAGGCTCTGATAATTACTAGAGTCCAGCAAAAAGAACAGGAGCTCTGGAACCTTGAAGAACACTAAATCCAGGAACAAAGCTTCAGTTGCTAACAAGTCTCAAATTCAGAAATGGCCCAAAGCATAGCGGGGAGACGGGCTGAGGTCCTAGCACAGCCCACCACAGTGGAAGGACAGCACTCCAGAGCTTTACTCTCTCTTCCTGTCTATCAACAAAGTGTTACACGCACAGTTCATAGAAGCAAGTATCAAGAAAACATTCTATAGCAATGATTTTAGAATTTAGAAATTAAGCATCAAAGCTGATAGCAAAAAAGAAGCAATGACATCGTATACCTTTCCAAGTGCCATCATAAGATGCCAGAGAGGCCACTTAAGGAAGGACATAGTCCTGAACCTCAGAGAGGCTGCCCCAACTGCAGACAGGAAGGGTTAAAATTAAGGAAGTACCATTGCCTAAAACAGTACCCATTTCCAGGGAATGTAGAATCATAAACTTTATACCACAGTGAAAAAAGGTGTCCTGTGTATTTTACTACAACTGAATAAAATTACACCATCGCGTGACTGACATCTACAACGGCAGACAGCTGCTGAACCTGCACACCCAGGTGGAATAATGGAAAATAGATGCTCACTTACCTCTTTGACTGAGAATTCCTTCAGGCCTAAATATTTCTGGAGTCTCAAAGGCAAAAATGCAGTCGCTTTCATGGACTGTTTCCAGGTCATCTGTGTCACAAAAGGAACGATGGAACCCATCATAGTACATCTCGGTTAACACGATCTAAGAATGGGGAGAACACAGGATCGAGAAAGTCACTGCAAGTTCATCTCTCAGGTCAACTGTGAGCTCTTCCAGATCATCAGGCCTGTGGTGATCTGTGAGGACACGAGCATCTCACAGCACCCACACTGTCTGCCTATAAGAAGAGAATCCTCGTGCTGCAGTGGGTGCAGATAGCTTCATGGGTTGCGTCTTAACCCCTTGCACCACCAGGGAAGCCCCCGGCTGGGAGCTACCCACATGGTGTGGCAGACCTCTCCTATCTCGCCCGCTGCTCCCCTCAACAGTGTATTTCAGTCAATCTGCCTGTTTTGTTCCCCACTCTGTCTCTGGTGAATCCTCTCATCCCCCCCACATCTCTGGCCTGTACCCCAGCTCTTGTATGCATAAAAAAAAAAAAATCAATCTTTATAAAGAAAAAAAAGAAGAGACTCCTGGAAGCACAACAGCTTCTGCATGTATGTAATGTTACACTCTGATTTCAGAACACCACAGCACTAAATCCAGAGTGTCCCCAAATTTTGGTGACGTGACCCAGAAAATTACAAAACCTAATCAATCCCCTTGTGTCATAAACTACAGAGAGGCGCCATGGCTCGCCCAAGGTTACATGACCATTCCGTCTCTGAGTGAGAAGAGGGTCCACATCTGACTCCAAGACTCTCGTCATTTAATTTTCTTCTTTTCAGATAAAAATATGTTGAATAGGGCCTCCCTGGTGACATTAGGGGTTGAGATGCAACCCACGAACCTGTCCGCAGCCACTGCAGCACGAGTTCAATCCCTGGCCAGGGAGCTGCCCACAAGGCACAGCAGACTTCTCCTGTCTCGCCTGCTACTCCTGTCAGCAGTGTATTTCAGTCAGTCTGCCTGTCCTGCTCCTGCCACTCTGTCTCTGGTGAATCCTCTCACCCCCCACACCTCTGGCCTGTACCCCAGCTCTTGTATGCATAAATAAATAAATCTTAAAAAAAATATATGTTGAATAGGGCCACCCCGGTGGCACAGGCGGTTGAGCACAGTGCTGTGAAGCTGTTCGCAGCCTCTGCAGTGACGGTTTGATCCCCGCCGTCTGCAGAGACACCCACATGGCAGGGCAGACCTCTCCTGTCTCGCCTACTGTTCCCCTCAGCAGTGTATTTCAGTCGGCCTGCCTGTTCTGTTCCCTGCTTTATCTCTGGTGAATCCTCTCATCCTCCCACACATCTGGCCTGTACCCCAGTTCTTGCATAAATATAAATAAATCTTAACAAAAAAAAATTTTTTTAAATGTTGAATAACCATGGATATTTGTCGTGGGGGAAAAAAGGAATCAACTCCAATGTTCCACACCAAGAGCCAATTAAAAACATGCCCACTGAATTATAAAGTTTATTGCAAAGAACTACGTCTATTTTTCACTAACATGAAATGATGCCCTAAGTAAATGAAAGAGTGAAATGTATAATGATTCTATTTTCATAAAATAGCAAATGTCAGATATGCACAGCAGAAAACACGGATGAATATGTAACACAGTGTGAGAGTTAGTACTAAAAGTAGACTTTCATTTTCTGAACTGTTTGTGAAATGGCTAAATATTTTAACAGAAAAACAAAAGATGGGGAGAAAAACAATGGAAACAGTTAGAGACTTCATTACACGTTCACCAGCATTGTCTAGTGTAAAAGCTCTGGATGGGACATGAGGAGGTTCCAGTCCCGGCCTGCCACCAGCCAGTCCTGTGACCTTAAACAAGTCACATGGTTTCTCTGTGCCTCCTTCAGATTACGGGGTTGAACTGGAACCCTAAGGTCCTCTCTACTAATGCAAACATCCTGAGTCTATAAAGTGGCATATTCCAAAAACAGTCCAAAAAAAATATACCTGACACATTTTCCTACTAATGATTTTAATGACCATGCTGTTTTTCTGCAGGTGAACATGCCAGTATAATCCATTTTCTCCAGCAAGCTGAGGTCAAAAACAAACTTGTAATTATATCACCCATTTAAACTACTTGCAAATAGAATTAGACAGCACTGGAAACTTTGAAGATACAACTGGACTTGTCCTGGACACACACATCAGTTTCCCTACCTCTTGCCTGTCTTTCCCCCATCCTGAAGGAAAAAAAAAATCAATAAGCTCTTCAGAGAAAGAAAGAATATGAACATTTTGTCAATGCACCAATACTTGGCCTATGAAAATATGAGTTATTTGCTGTATTAGGGCAACGATGCTGGTTGTATTTGTTTTACTTTGGTAACTTCCCAAATGAAGCCACATGAGGCCAAAGTACAAAACACCTTTATTATTCAAGTGACTGCATAGCAGTTTCCAGAAGTTATCTAGGGAAAAGCTATTCAGCCACTGAATGAATCATCTTAAGTAAATCTTAAATAGGGAATGTTTTTCCAAATAAAATCATAGTAGTGAACTGAATAAAAAGGTATGCAAAAATGTCAAGTCACAAATAGGCTAAAAGTGTTTTCAGTCCATTTACATGCAACACATATCATTAATTTACCCAAAAAAAAACAGGCGGGGGCCACAAGTTTCCTTTCTCTTATCTCAACAAGGTAAGAGGCCCTGCCAGCTGTCATCAGGGAACAAACCCAGCTGAGCCCCCAGGACGTACTATACTCGCCAGATGCCCGTGCTGCTCACCGTGAGGGAAAGGGGTTTTGAAGAGCCACTGATTGAAATTTCTAAGCCTCTCTGAACTTCAAATATCATAGGATGCTCTTCCTATTGACCACATAAGCACCCACAAGAAGGACTTAAAGGGGGTTAAGTAACTATACTTTACAAACAAAGCTAAAAGAAGGTCTTGGTGTAAAGTCACAGCTTCTCATTTAAAAAAATATACATAGTTATATTAAGCATGAAAAGCTTTTGAGTACATCTTTGTCTTTTGGGTCTTGATTTTTTTCCCTCTTAACACTGGAAGCAACTGGTTTTAAATTTCCAGCTAACCATATTTGGCAGAGAACTGTTAAGAAATTCCAGGAGAACAGAAAGCAACACTTTTGCAGCTAACATATGATCCATCTTTGCGGGCTTATTACCTGATCAGTGGGGATTTTTGTTTCCATAGACACTGCTTCCCGAAGTCTGGCAACAGTCCCAGACAGAGGCACGGCCACGCCAATCCGCATGCAGTGAGAGCATTTCCCTTGATACACTACGGTGACATAGAGAGGCCTGTACAGATCAAAGTCAGATCTTCTCATTAGTCACTTATTTCAACTAAAATAGAGAAGGCAAAACAAACTTCATCTGAAATCATCACAAAACTGAAGCTAACCCACACTTTTCTCTGGAAGCCAAATGGAAAAACTGCATTTGGACCTAAGTGAAACTATCAAACAATAATCAAGAGCTCTTTGGGAGAGGCAACCTTCATGAAAAAAATTTTTTTTTCTTGAAAGCAGCATAAACTCCTATGTCTGACTTAGGTAAATCTTAAATTGGAAATGTTTTTCCAAACAAAATCACTGTAGTGAACTGAGTTAAAAGGTATGCAAAAATGTCAAGTCACAAATAGGCTAAAGTATTTTCAGTCCATTTAAATTAACGCCATAGGGCCTCCCCTGGTGGCACAGCTGTTGAGAGCTCTCTGCAGTGCTGGTTTGATCCCCAGCCACCAGTGAGGGTCCCACAAGGCACGACAGACCTCTCCTGCCACGCCCACTGCTCCCCTCAGCAGTGTGTTTCGTCACTCTGCCTGTTCTGTTCCCCGCTCTGGCTCTGGTAAATTCTTTCACCCTCCCGCGCTTCTGACTGTACCCAGTGCTTGGATAAATAAATAAATAAATCTTTTTAAAAATTTTAAAAATAAAAAATTAATAAATAAATGTAACGCCATATCATTAATTCACCAAAAAGACAGGAGGGGGCCACAAGTTTCCTGAACTCCTAGAAATTTTGAGTAGCAGTTCAAATAAGGCAACTAGTTAGAAGTGTGATGTGTATTCTCTAGAGGCAAGAAGGCAGGAGCGAGCCTTCCCCTCCCCGCTCGCTGTCAGTGGCTGACCAGCTAGACCGACTGGCCAGCCCAGCAGCTGCTCACACTGCACACTCAGAACTCTACTCATCACCTATCCTGTTATTTGCCTAAATAAATAAGAGGACACAACAGAGGAAGAGGAACACTGCGCTACAGGAATATACAGTCTCAAGTTCATTAAATCTGTTCTTACCTTGTGTGGGGTAGAGGAATTGGCAAAGAAATGCAGAGGAAGGGGTCAAAGGTGTTGCTCTGCTTCTGACAGTGAGGACAAGTCAAAGAAGATCTTCAAAAACAAAAATGGGAAACACGTTAAGGTCACTAGAATTCTGCCACGTGGACCACGTAAAGGAAAATATGATTTTCTCATACCTGTACTGGGCTTGAAAAAGTTCTTGTACAAAAGTGCTACAGACTGGAAAAGATGGTCCCTCGGGCAGCATATCAGCCTCAGATGGTGGCTAAAAAAAAGCAAGTACAATTTCACAGACTCGAAACACCAATTCTTGATTGAAGATGACCCTTAAAAAGACACAAATACCTGTGACTTCCCTTAGAGACTAAGTGTCAGGTCCAGATTTCAGGAAAGGCATCTGCTAAAGGAAGCAGACACAGCTACCAGACACAGCCACTAGGCTCACCTGCGCACAGGCCCTCCACAGATGGCATTTCTCTCTCCACCCCTTCCAGGCAGTCAGGCAGTTCTTCCCCAGGAGGCTCTAACAGCCCTCCAACTCCAAGCGCCCATCCCCCCTCTTCCCGGAAATAATCCCCAACCTACCTGGAAAGTGGCAATTCTGCCCAAGCCTGCTTTCTCCTGCGCTACTCTTGCTGGTGTCTCATCACTCTACTGCCTATTTCACTTAACCTCCGCCTAACAATAACCTACTGAGCATCTGCAGTCACAGGCAGAGGGCACTTTCAAGGGCACTAGGATGCAATCATAAGCAAGAGCCGGCCACCACGGACAGTAACACAACAGCACAGAGTGCTCAGGCATAAAAGGATCTTGAACCAGAATGATTTATCGACTTATCAAAATTAGAACTGTAAAATGTGAGGTGTGGAGCAGCAAAGGAAAGCAACACTTTAGACTTCAGTATTCCCATAATATAAAGCGTTTTAGTAAGACTATATGCATAAAGACAGAGAATGAATCATTATCTCAGTGAACTATTTTGAGAGGTTCATCCCACATTCAAATTTAAGCCTAACAGCGGAGACACTCATACGCTTCCCTTTGGCTTGTATATTCATTCCGGTGATACAGGCTATGTGTCTCATGGGAACAAAAAGCAAATTTCTGCTTTAAAAACAAGTTTAGTGAGATGGAATCACTTCACTTTAGTCTAGAGCTAGTCACAAATGCAAATGTGTGTCCTCTCATTAGACTGTCAGCTCCTTGGATACCGTGTTTCTTCTATCTTCCACTGCCAGCTCAGTAAATATGAGGAAACACCCTGGAAGTACCCATAAATTTTAACTCACCCAGAGCTTAGTGACTTTCATTACATTAACCAAACGTGAACTGCAGCTCCCCGATGGAAGCCCCTTCTCGCCTTGCTCCAGTCACTGAGCAGCCCTGGCGCCTGGCACACAGCTCCTGACTGCCCTGCCAGGGGCGTATCCTCACCTTCAGGGGTGGCTGGCCGCTCTGCTTTACAGCATGATTGAGGTCTTCGTGAACTCGGTCTAAAAGCCAGAGCAGAAACTCCTGGGCATCGTGCTGGGAATTCCCCCGGTACTGCAGAGCATTCTTTGATACAATACTCTAGACAGGTAAACAAATTAACATGCAACAGTTGTGAATTCCTGGCTTTAGAGATAAAGCACTCATAATCTATCTCAAAGAGGGACGCAAGTGTGTTACACAGTACTTCCAGAAAAGAAAGCAATGTAAAAAGAGGGGCTCAGTGTAACCCCCCACCCCATCAGGAACATGATGCAAAGCCTTAATTGAATGCACATACTATATGCAATCCTACGTGCAGGAATGCATCTAACGGAAACTATCAAAACAGCATGTGAAACTTCTATGTAGACATTCATTCATCAGGCTCTGTAATAGCAAAAAATTGGTACTAACTTGATCATCTTAAAAATGAGAATTGGTTAAATAATTAACACAGTATCGGGTTATAAGCAAAAGTATAAAATAAGTAAGTCTACACCAATGTAAATGATTAACTCTTCAAATAAGTATGTGGGAGGGGGAAGGAAAGGGAAAATCTTCCTTACAAAGAATTCCAAATAACTTATGTGGATAACCCTTCCCCTCCACCTCCCCACCCTCCACCCCACCCTCCACCTGCCGCAACCCCCACCACCAGGAGTTAGGCCCACACTGTGAGCACGGGCTAGGAAAGAGCAGTAGCCAGGAAAAGGCTGTACGTGAACTGGCCAATTAAGATCACGGAATCTGGAGCAAAAAGCCTGGAATCAAATCTCCATCCCACTATTCACAATTTGTGAGGCCTGGGCCTCCTCTTTCCAAAGTAAAAAGGATAGTAATGATTTAGTGTGATAGGCAAATGAAATGCATGCAAAACATTTCACATATAAATGCAATAAAATAAATATTCAAATTTTAGCTGCAGGTACTGGCTTTGATAGTAAGGAGAAAGGAGTGGAGACAAATGCACAAAGGGAGAGCAGTTAAGAGACAATTGAGATGATGAGGCAAGAAATATTAGGTTCTAAGATAAACTAAGGCAGTGAGGTCAGAAATATGAAGGCAGGCTTGGATTTAGGAATCAAGGCAACAGAATTAACAGGCTCTGTGACCGAACGAATGTGCAGGAAGAGGAAAGCGGCATTAGAGCTACCCACACACCTAATGGGCGGCCCCTCATCAAGACCAAAAAAACCAGAGCGGAAAGAGGGTCATGAGTTCTTTTCTGAATTCCCAATATGTGAAGGTCTGTTGAATCCCCAAGCAGAAGTACGTGATAAACAAGTGAAAAATGTAGATCTGGGGCTCCACGAACAGTGTGTGTCAGGGGTCAGGCTTGGGAGTCACTGGACAGGTGGTAGTTAAAATCACGTGGACGACGGAAACTGCCCAGAAATAATCATAAAAAATCAAGCAGAGGAAGAGGTTTAGAGAGTCCTCAAAGGAGCCCAAGAGAAGGTGATCAAGAGTTTTGTCAAAAAATCAGGAGAATGGAGGCCCAAGAGTCAAGAGAAAACAGCCATGAGGGACTCATGGGTACTGTTAAAAAGTTGAAGAATAACACAGGAGCCAAAAAACTAAACTTGGCCTTGCATTTTCCAATTCGAGTGCTAGCAGACTGAGACAAGAGGCAGATTTGCGATTTAATCATGAAGCGGAGTCATCCAGCTTGGTGGTTTCCTCTAGAGGGGGAGATTCAAGATCTGGAGATTCAAATTAAAGGGGTAAATAACAAAGGGGCATAAATGAGAGAGAATGTGATGGTATCACTGGCAAAACTAACTCAGTCAAGTGAGCCAGGGAGAGGCAGGCCACTGACCAGAAACAAAGCTTCAAGTGACTGGAAGGATACTACTCAGCTGCCAAATTAAAAACAGACACACAAGAGGAGGAATCGGTGTGGGGGAAGTCTCTGCCACCTACAAAACTTCCCCCAGAGGTCAGATGCTACCCAAATCACCAAATCCAAGTTCTTCTTTATCTCCCTCGACATCCCTATAGCACATTATATACTTGACCTCTCACTCCATCTTGAATGGTTTGACTTGCACTCTTATGTTCTCATTGAAAAGAATCAAAACCAGAGCCATTGGTATGCACAATAGAAGAACGTGAGCCACAGAAGAGAAGATGTTTCCTAGAGGAGAAAATCCATCAGTAAAAACACCCGCACCAGCAGCACTATGTGGCTGACTCAAGATGAAGAGAATCAGGTGCTTGGTGAGCCCCAGGAGCTCAGCCAGGAAAACCCCCAGGTAGACGGAAGGAATGATGCAACCCACTACAGAAAAGCGTGACAGCACTGAGGTCCTTGGCAACAGCAGATGAAGACACTGTTTGCCTGGAGCAGAGTACTGATCAGTGAGGGTAAGAGAGAAGAAGGAAACTGAATGGCTACAAGGAAGTGAATGGCTGCAAGGAGACCACTTTTCCCAGCCTAGAAGCTTCCGTACAAAAGGAAGGAGGGCAGATGCTATGACCAGCAGAGGGGAGCGCGCAGGCTGAGGGAAGACGCTAACGGAAAGGAGGCACTTGAGAATGATTCTTCAGTAAGGGGAGAAGGAATTCAGAAAAGATATAGACGCCCTGCCTTAAACAGGAGGTGGGAGAGACAGAAAAGAAGGAAGGAGAGTCATGGATTCAGACAAGTTATAGTAGGAAAACTTTGCTTTTGCTAGTTAGTTTTATATTGTTTATTTTGAGGAGGAAGCAGAGGCCCACAGCCAAGCGGAAGTCTTAGGTACAACAAAGGTAAAGGCAAATGCATAGCAAGGGTACTTGAGGCCCACAGGTGGAAACACAACAAACTTCTGTCCAGGACCTTCTCACTCACTGCCAGTGGGGGGCAGGGAGGGACAGGTTCTCAGCATATGCACCCGAATAAACAAGTTCTCTGGAACCAACCTCTTTGCTATGTTTATATACGGCATCTATCAAATTTCAAGGTGGAGACTTCAATTCTTCATCAGGACTGCGCTCAATGTAATCTATGCTTCCCGTCACTGTCACTTCAACTTGCCCAGCATCTACCCACCAATCACTGTGCACAAAGCACTTGCTAACAAGGCTGCTCAACAGGATTTTTGCTGGGCACGACTGAACAGGCCACAGGACTTCCACAACCCCCTAGAACTAGGACAAAAACTGCTCTGGGTCAACCCCACCCTAAATCACTGCATCACAAACTAAGGGAATTTTACAGGCAACCTTACTGAACACACAACACACACAAAGGCTCCTCTTTCTCCTTTTACCCCTTCACAATGGTGACTTCCTCCCTCTACAGATAACCAAGGGGCTATTTACTCTAGTTCTTCTCTAGATGAAACACAGAACAATCAAATAACTATCCTGCATATGTGTTACAGAAGAAAGGGAAATACCAGAGTCTAAGAAACCCGGGTTTAAGCTCTGGTTCTGCCACAAACAAGTAAGCGTTTAACCTGAGGCGCTCACTGACCTCACGATCCCAGGTTCACAGAAGGAAGCGCTGTGCCAGGCCAAGACTGGCCCAACCCTCCGCCAATCTCTTCCCCTAGCGCACCCGCAAGGGATGTGGCTTTTGTTTGGCGCCACATCTGACACTCACTACTTCGTCTTTATGACATTTTTCATAATCTAAACCTTAACTTGATGTCCTAAAATTAATCCCTTTTTGGGGCAGGTTTTTTTTTTTAAGTTTATTATCACTGGACGACGTCATCTATAAATAGAAACATTATACAACAGAAGAAGTCACTTAAATTTGTCACATCTATGAAAAACAGAGTACGAACTTTATTAAACTTAGCCCTGTGTACATAAATTTGCAATTTATAGAATTTATAATATTGCAATTTATAGAATAAAATCATATCTAATGACTTCAATCTTACACATTCTGGTATTCTAACTCAGAATGAATCAAGTACAGGTGTCCCTTATATTCAAGTTCTCATGATCAAATTTATAAGTGAATTTTACCACTACCCCAATTTCCCCCTTAGGATGACTCTTACCATCCAGTTACTAAATGATAAAATAGAAATCAAAATACATTTATAAGGCTTTCAAGTTTCATGATTTCTCTTTACCCTTTGAATAAAACCTTAAGGCCTAGAGCTACAAAGAGAACATTTTTTTCCTTCAAGAAAAAAAAAAATGAGGTGGAAGCATGGCCCAGAAAAGAAAAGGTGAAGTCTATCCAACTGGAGCTATAAATTAGACATGAAGTTCTTTCTAGTCACAGGACCCTAAGAAAGAAGCAGCAGGATTCTGGGCTCTAGAGGAAAGACCTCCTTTACCTGAAGCCAGGAAGAACACAAAGTAATAACCATTGGTGGTTTCCTCCAAGGGGAATGAACATGGTAATACTGGCCTGACATGATGGATCAGGACATTAAGTTACTCCTCTGGGGGAAACGGAAGCTTGCCAAGACTCGTCAAACCAAATCCCCTACCTTCCCTGATTCTATACCAAGAGAAATGTAGAATTTATTGCCAGTGATTGTGGCTAAGAAACATAACTTGGACCTCAATTTTTAAAAGACACAGTTTTAAAAGCAGAAAAAGAACTTGGAAGGACAACAGCATTTACATTTTAAAAGAAAGATGAAAAGTGAACAGCTGGGTTCATAGATAGTATCAACAAGGGAAATTTGGTTCCTGGACTGTGGTGGAAAAAAACAGAATAAGCATTTGAGTTTCATCTGAATCTGACTTTCTGGTTGATTACCAACCAAGATGATGACTGGAAACACAGAAGGTGAAACAGGCAAAAGGATGAATACTGTGAAAACAGGTATGACCATGAAAAACAGTAATGAAGTATCCATAGAAGAGCACCCCACACCAGGATACAGGGTGCAGCTCTGCTCAAAGCGGGCTCTCTGTTCTGTGCCCTGTATCCACTCCTACCTGCTCACTTTCACCTGGGGAGGCGGGGGTGTCCTGCTCACATAATAGCACAGATTAGGTTGGGAGGCACCAGTCTTGGCAACAATGGACATTTGAAAAATGCTGCCAGGCCTCCAGACTTCACACATACTTTCCCTCTAACTGGAATGCCTAAACTCACACTCCCCACCAAGTGCATGCCCTCACTCCCTCTCATTAGCAGG